AGAACTATAGGGTTTCTAATCAGGCGGCAAAAGAAGCCTGCAATGCACTGTATTGGACAGATACTAGTTTTAGCAAAGTACTTATGGAACATTTGCATAATTTGAACTATTTAAGAATTTCTGTATAGCAATTTTAGCACAAAATTGTTGTTTTGGCCTAAGTTTTTATACTACCGTATATACTCGTGTGTAAGTCGAGAAAGTTTAGTCCTAAACTTAATTTTAAAACGCAGAGACGATTTAGCCATGGGCCAGTGCTAGTTTCGATTGAATTTTGTACATTGAATGCGGGGCAATGTCAACTCCTGAACGCCCTTCGACTCCCGGCCGACGTTCTCCTAGCTGGTCGGGAAGTCGAACGGGCATGGGTACAAGTTTCAGCGGGGTTCGCATGCTTGCGTAGCCGACTCAGAGATCCATGCTGTCGATGACCATGTACCACCTCCTGCGTTCGGGAGACGAACAAGTGCGTTCGTATATACAAATGGCGGCCACCCAGGGAATGCTTGTTTGAGGTTAACAGCCAGGGATGGTCGTGATTACAAGGTGTTAACAAGGGGGACCACACAGAGTCTGTTCGGTAACCCAACAGAAGGGGAACAATTCCACAACTAGGAAAGGAGACCTGACTAAGACGTAAAATCACATAGCACAAGAAGCTGAAGTAATGCAGCAGGATGTTTAACCAGAGTCCTCACACTACGAGTGGCTTCGAAGAGGCATGAGATAGATGCGGTCAAAAGGGCAGCGCTCTCCTTGGGGGACATAATATTGAGCCCCCCCACCCCTAAATGCCTCATCTCACGTCCTCGGTTTATCGAGGACGCTCTTTTCTCTTTGTTTTTTTACTCTATTTCTTTTTCATTTTTTCTCTTTTCCTTATAATGGTACAACCGTGCATACGGAGATAAGAAGGGTGGAAATTATAACAGCAAATCTGATTACATTTGGCACCCCTACCTGTATTCAATGTATGTTACTGCACGATTGATACATGTTTTATTTACTATAAAAGACCAAGCGGGACGTAGTGCGATAAGTAAAGTTGTGAATCACTAAATGGGTAATTTCAGGCAACTCGTACTCCGCAACGATGATTGTACATTCATGATGATGACGTATAGAGTTAATAAGCTAAAGGTAGATGCCTATTTATATATGTCTCGGTATACCTGTATATGTTATGTACTGACTGTCCTGTTTTGGAATAAATAAAGAATTAAAAAAAAAAAAAAAAGAAGGGGAACAATTCCATTTCAATTCCATTCGAAAGTCATACCCTCGACTTATCCACGAGTCATAGCATTTCACAATTGTTGGTCAGAAAACTGCACTCGACTTATACACAAGATTGACTTGTAGACGAGTATATAATGAGGTACTTTGACATTTTTATAATTGATAGTGAATAGGATCAAGTGATTAAGATAAGGTTTCATGGAGACTAAAACAGTTATGCTTCAGGTACTATAGAATATAATTATCTTTCAATGTTATCAATTTGGAGATTTCTTCAAGTTTGGCGACGTGTTCTACAATTTACCGTTCAGTCCTTGCTGAATCCCTGACTGTTCACAATTTATCAACTAACCCTGTTAGAACTAATAATTTGGTCTAACTAGGGATTACTTGGTTTAAATTTTGAAAACAGTTTTTTTAAAATCGACACAACTTTGTGTTTAGTGAATTTATTATCAAGGTTATTTATTTAAATCAGCATTATTCGTACAACGATGTAAAAACTAAAAATGTAACCCAAAAACAGCAAATAAGTTATAATTGTCCAACCTCATCTATTTTTCACAATTTGGCTATTTTGGACTGCTTGTTGCAATTTCATTTTCACTTCTCCACGGTTTTCTGTTTGTTGAATAAACACATAGTAGTTTATAGTATATATAGTTTGAATATAACACAACAATATATTTAACCTACTATAAAACATCACATCACCTAACCTCTATACATTCAAGAACAATATACCTGGGTGAAAAGATTTGTTTACAAAGCAGGAAATTCTGGTTACACACTCACAGAATTGAAATATTTACTGGAAATTTATTTCAAACTATAAAACATGTTATCACCAGGAATTTTATGCAAAATGTTTACTCATAACCAAATTAGGTTTGTTAATGGCAACGCCTCAATGGCTAACAGTGGAGTTCCCATTGGGGAAACATCAATTACTCAGACACCAATTACTTGGTTTGTAAACTGGAAGGTAAAGAACTCATTTGTTTCTTAAAACTATCCGTTAATAACAAGTTTATTCAACAAAGTGGGATTTATAGTGAACTGAATTTAATTGGAATTGAAAATGCTGGTTAATATAGTTAAACAGTGACAATTTCTGAATTATACAAAAACAAACAGACAGACTCTTGATGCGATGGTTCGGCCAAATATTGTCTATGGAAAAATATCCTGGGATGAACCAAAAAGGACACAACAATGGGTCAATCCATGTACTGCAGAATACTGTATATACGAAATACATATCGCAGTGTAATAAATATTATGTGTATATGTTGCAGGGTACTAATAGGAGCATTTTCTTGCCATTTGGTTCACAGATCAAGGACGAAAGAGTAACAAATAAAGCCAAAAAGAGGAGGAGTAGTAAAAAATTGTATTACATATAAAAATATAGATTTTTTTTTCTGTGAATTTTTATGTATTAGGAGAGAGTGTATCGAGCATAAAAAAATGACAATGCAGGATTTACAGGTCTCAAAACAAATGGGTAATATAATATACAGCGAGGCTCACAGATCCCAGATCTTATTCAAAACAACTATATATATATAATAAGAGGTTCATTTTAATTCTGATAATTAAATCCATATGTTGTAGTTCATATCACTCTAGTATGTTCTATCACTCATGGAGCAGTCAATACACAGAGTGGTTTTGGCAAAGGTGCCTGTGTCAGATCTCTTTGCATGTCTGTCCCTACCGAACCCTTCTGTGTCTCCTATTCCTGGCCCAGTAGGACTGTGGCAGAATCTCTACATGTCTTATGTCCAGTTTGTTACTGACATTGAGAGCAGCATGGTGCGAATTGCTAGAGTGAGAGGATGACTGATTATAAACCAACTCCGTCCACACACGATGCTCACCGCTCAGTCTAGTGACAGACTGGACAGAGGAACATTCAGAGACTCTGCCACGGTCCAAATCAGCCATGCTACAATGAGTAACAGTGTGGACAGGAAGCACCATGTACAAACACAAAGTTTGAAAATATGAATTCCTGACAATTCACATGTTAGTAAATAACCCTGATAGTGTATACTGCTGCGTACAGTGTGTCTTTGCAGATATCCATGCCTGCCTGGAGCATTATGGGGTTATTTGATCTCTATACGGGGTAAGTGTGTTTTAGGGAAAGCTCGGCTCTGTTACAGGGATGAGGGAATGAAATCTGTTTGTACGCTCTGTATAAATATTAATGTAGCGCTAACAGTCAGTATGCGAAAGCACCAGCGCCAAGACATAAAATAAGAGATTGAGCGTTCGTGGAAGCCTGTACGATGATCTCTGTATCCAGAATGCGCCCTTTAATTAATTGCAACATCTTTCTGAAATTTTGCTTTATTAATAAAATTTAATTTGTGTTTGAGTCAGATTTTGGCATTCAGTTTGTTTTTCTATTTTTTTCAGTCTGCCCAATAGGCAGTAATAATGTTATGAATTCACCAGACGGGTTATTTATTAAACCATCTGCTCCTCCACTTCCAGATGTACGAATTGAAGTAAATAGGATTAAAGCTACGGTGGGCTGCAACTCCCACAACACTTAGCAAAGGAAATTGGGAGGGACAGTTTGGAAGAGCAGATAATTAAGGTTATTTGGAAAAATCCTCCAAGTCAGCTATGTTTTGTGTTCGGCTAGTTTAGTCTTAACATTTAAATTCCCTCTAAATTCATGACAATTCACACTTTTGCGAATAACTCTGACAGCCCAGGTGCATTCATTCAGTGTTTCTCAGCTGATGTCCAAGTGTGCCCCTGAGCATCATGGGAACATGGCATCGTTCTTGACACGAAATACTGTGGAGGTGTGTTTTTACTGGAACTATTTCCTATTGCATTCTGGGAGATAGAACATGGCTCAGATGATCACGATACAACTAATGATCAGCCTACAGGTGCAGCAGTCGTACTGGTATCACATTTGTTTTATTACTATTGATACACTTTATGAAGGTCAGGTTCTCTAATCATGCTCACTCTGTTACACAAACTATACAGATACAAAGTATCGAGGTGTGGCTGAGCTGCATGGAAGCCATCTTCAGTAGCCTAAGAGCATAAAATCTGCTCAATCCACCACAAACCCGGCCTAATACGAATTGATACTCTACAATACTGTGAGTAAGCCATGAGGTATACCCTGCACCCAATATTTTTTGAATTGCTGCAAGAATGGGCAAGGTATCAGTCCTGAGGCCTACCTCACCATGAGCCCATTGAAGAAACTAATATGGGGGCCTCAAAAAAATGACACGTCGTTGAGAAGACAACACACAACCCGGGGCTGAAGTTTCAGACCTCCTGGTCTACATGCTACAAGCAATGATGGCCATCCTTGCTGAGGCTGATTTGATACTGTTTGGGCACTGTTTGACGGAGCTGTATCCCTCTGGTGGTGGCACATGACAAGGCTCTGCCTCTGAGCTTCCCCCTGACTGCTGGAATAAGGGAATCGAGTCACCTCTGCATCTGGGCCCGATCCGAAGTCCCAGAAATGACTGCCCACTGATCTTAGAGTCATATTTTTCATTTCAATTTCCTGTCAATATAGCATACCATATAAGTCCACCATTTTTGGCTGTGAGTTATTATAGGCAGTACAGACTGTTATATTTTTATCCGCAGTGTATGCATGTAGGTGGGCTTGCCTGAATCCTATGACTTCTAATGACATTTGCATAATCAATACAACCAAATTGAACAGAGAAACAAAGTATCAAGTCATAAATTATACCGAATTCCTATTTATTGCCGGGCTGGATTGTGTAATGTAGTCACATGACAACTGAGAAAGGCTTAGCTACCATGGCACAAAAATGTTGATTAATAGGGTTAGAAATGAAAATAGGAATACGGGTAAAATAGCAGTAGAATATTGCAAATGACCATATATGCAAGTGGACAACCGGGTCACACGGTCATTCTTATTAGGAGTTGATTATTAGAGTAGCCAATAGGAATTTGGAGATAAAGCCAGCCATTAACCACCAACTTGTTTCCAAGACGTGGAGCTGAAGATATTGTGTACAACCAGAGGCCGATAGGTCATTGAACCATTAAGGAATAGGGGTTGTTGTGGCTATACCTGCTGCAACATTGTAACTGGCTATTCATATAATCATCTATTGAATGACTAGAACTGAACTGCAAACAAGTTGAAGACCACCAACTGCCCCAAATTAGTAAGGGAGCTTAGCGTTTCATAGCGTCATGTTATAGTTCTAGAAATGTTACATTATAATCCAGCTGTTGTTGGTTCCCACGTTTTACAGAATTTCGGAGTTTAGAAAACATTCCACTGAGATCAATGTCAAATGGAACATTACTTCCAGGGGAACTCTCCCGCCTTTAGTGAGGGAACACATTGTAACATTGGATCCACATGCTATTGTCACTCAGTTACTGCTCGCTTGTGGGACCAGCAAGTAATCACTCCTCGGCAGTTGCAGCCACACCTCTGACTGCACAGAGACAATTACTGTTTGGCAGATGACTCATAGCCGGCTTTAGTTTTTCAGGATAAACAAAATAAAATGTGGCAAACAGGAATTGTCAAAAAAAAATCACGTCACAGCACCTTTGATTGCTGAGGTTTGTTAATTAAAACGCCATTGTCATCCGTGTAAGTTTTCAACGTTGGTAAACAGAGTGAGCAGAGTGACCGACAAACCAGAATACTTAAAGATACACGCAAAATGTGACATGGGTTAAATAATAAATATATACCACTCTCACTATGTTTATTTACCTGATTAAAAGTTGTTTTAATCAGACAATTGCTAATATTCACTTATCCCGGTGGGTCTCCCCTGGAAGTTGGCTCAGTTAAATAAAGGTAGAAATAGATCAGTGGGTTTTTCCAAGCCCACCCTAATGCAGTCTCTGGTTAGGACACATTTGCATGAATTTGGGTTAGTTTGGTATGTTTTTGAAAAAAAATAAAAAATAATTATGACTATCTCTGTATACACTAGGTCACCAATGCCAAACAAATGTTATATTCTGTACCTATTTTTCAATTAATATTTTAATGTAACATTCAGATGGTATATAGGGGCGCACACCTTAATATAATGTACTGCGTTATATATACTCTATTTTCAGGGATAAAATGGGATTGAAACCTACTTATACTGGATACATAATGTGGGTATATGTAATACCAATTTCAAAAACAAAACATATATGTCTGGTTCCAACCACGTTACTGTTTAACATTTCTAAGTAAGTATTAAATCTAGGGATGATGTACTCCTATAGGAATTTCCACCTTGCAATAAGTCTATTCTCCCTGAAATTTGGAGAATCTGCCCATCCATACAGAGAGCTGAGACCCTAAAGATGACAATGCACCTTGGGAATGTGTCCTCTCATTCTGAGTTGGCCTTAATGATGCTCAGTTTAACAGACCATAAAAACATCTGAATCCATTTGAAAATAAAAGCTTAAACCACCTATTTAATTCCTTCATTTCCACAGGTTGATCACCTGTTAGATCAGGAGGTTTACCTTCACAAGGTTGGAGTTTATTTATGAATCCATTTTTGTAGAAAAGTGAATGGAATTTGCAAGGAAGTAGGAATTATCTCAGAGTTCCATGGGAACCAGGGGTTTCTGGGAGCAAGAAAAAAGGTAGGAAGGTATAAAATATGGACACATCTCATAGCCCAACCACCATGGACTCTGATCACCTTGCCAGGACAGAGGCATTCAGTAAGGATCAAAGACTGGAATCACAGAGGTGGATTGAGAGACTTGAGAGAGGGTTTAAGAGACTTGGCAGAGAAAGTTTAACAACATGGGAAGTAAAAGGGGGGAGGGAGTAAAGCGAATGAAATGAGAGCATTAAATGTCTGTTAGTTTTTTCTTAGAATAGAGGGTTGATAAACTGGTACAGGGAGAAGTGTTTGAAACTCACAAAGAGTTGAGATGCTGGGAGGTTCAAGCACACTGGAGAAGTTATATAGAGAATGAATTAAAGGTAAAAATGAGGGAATTATAGGATATATAGTATCAGTGATTAGAAATAGGCAGATGGACTGGGAAAAGAGAGATATTGTGGAAAAGATGATGGATGTAAGGGGTAACCAGAGTTCAGAGGATTATAGAGGGCATGGTGTAACAGGAATCATGGATGAAAGAACACTAGACTGGTGATAGAGAAAATAAGTGGAGGTTGTTATGGCTCCTGCGCCCTTTGAAAACCACCATACCCGCATTGGCGATATGTGTCATTCTGGCATTTTTTTCAATGCAAACCACTCCAACTCACACACCTTAGATGCATAGTGTTTCTTGTGTCATTTTTTAGCACCACAACGATCCGTCTCTATTCAGCAACATCGAAACGCATACCTATAAGTACAGATCTGGGGATATTTAAGGCCCCTCTGACCAGCCTTATTTGCCAGAGCTTGTGGCTTTTGTTACTAACAGTGTGTTCTGATTTGTGGTGTGTATCCTGATTTTGACTCGACTCTGCTTTTTTATTACTCTGACCATTTGAATTCTTGACTTCGGCTCTGTTTCACTGTTTTCCCGTTACACTGTATCCATTGTCTTCAGCCTGTCTCTTCTTACTCTCTGTCTTTTATTCCCAGATTGTATTCTATACTACTATACACTAAGCCCGGCTTCTCTAAGGAAGGGTAATAAGTATTCCATTCATCGGGGCAGTTCCAGCCTTGACATTAGTTGGATGAAGAGGAGAGGCCTGTAATGTAAAAAGAATGCATAGTAACAGTGTAAAATAAGGTTAAAAACTAGGTTAGAGAGAGAAGGCAAAAGAATAAAAAAAGTTTTTATCTAATTCTACCCATTTCCTTAGACACCATGTCATTATTTTAAGCATTCAGAAACACAAGGGCTGTGAAAGTTGGGCCCAACAACACCCTAATTCAGAGCAGATTTTTTTTCTCGCCATCACCTCCTAGATGCTTTCACATTTGCTGCCATTTGGATGTAATAGTTGGATACACTTGACAGGTGCATAGGCGCCATATGGGCAGGCGGAATCTAACAAACGAACCACATACCTAACCCAATAAAACGCAGACACTTGGGTATTTGGGTCAAAACTGTCCACAGCTTTTATATTAAATAAATTTAGAATTGGTAATAAATTAACATTGAAAAGTCATTGCCCCCACACCCCGCCATACCTCATCCGCATCCCCACAGTTAGATATAAAAGGCAATAACCCATATATAAACATGTAACATATAACAGTATTTTAACATGAACATAAATTAAAGTGCCAACATTTTTAATTAACCATGAAAAGGGTATACCTGGATACCCCTACCCCACCAGGTTCTGAGCCACAGACGAGCTTGAAATCTACCAAACTTACCCATCTAATCCATTTACAAACTATCCAAATAGAGAGACTATTTCCGATCCTTCAGTTCCCTATCCCGCCACAAGCTCAGACCTTGATCCCATAAACCGTATGAGCTCCAAAGAAACAGCACCTTAAACAGCCCTTCCTGATAACCCAGGCTCAGAAGGTCCCACCCCACTTCGGAGAGGTGAACTCCATCCGAGTGATAGCAACCGGGCAACCCAACCTTCAACTCCTGATGCCTCACTACCACACCCCCAACTTTCCTGACAAAACTAGACATCAAGCTATTCACCTTTCCTCGGCAGAGATCAATAGCTAACGGGTAACACACGTGCCGCCACTGCCACCGTGGCACAATCTATGACCAAACCAACATTATCCCGGGAAGCAGGTCCCTCAACTTATTACATCCATTTCATGAGCTGACGCTGTGGTATCAGGCCCAAATCATTCCTCACGGACCTCCAGCATCAAAAAAGATCCCCATAGGACAACATTGAGTAATGCTTTCCTATGAGCGGGTTTGAATGCGCACGCCTCTGGCCGCACATGCGCATTCAGTTCCACTCGGAAGCTGACGTTGATGGAGGAGGAGAGGTCACCAGTGCTGAGGGATCCCTAAGGTAAGTAAATAAATGGTTAATTAACCATTTATTCGCTGTGAGACGTGGACCTAGTCACCTAAACGGTGACTAGGGCTCTGTAGCGTGAGGAATACATATTTGTATTCCTAATGCTATAGTGTTCCTTTAATAAATCAATAGATTAGATATATCCTCTATATCCTCTCGCAAACTTGCCATCTATTAACTTATCTCATGGTGCTCTCATATACGCTCAAACTCTGTGAAAGAAAGCTGTGTTAATGTATGTACAGGGCGTACAAATGGAGGTTTGCCCACAGCCTTGTTAGCTTTGTAAACAGCTCTGAGCAGACGTGTACAGAGGGGCGAGATTTAAACTGTCCAGATCTTTACCATTTAGCAATATGACCTAAAGGACCACAAAAGTCATCGAGAACATACCATCTCAATGAGGTTGCCTGGGTGCAGTGGTCCTGTCATTTTAACCCTGTGATGTAAACCTTGCTGTTTTGTCGAGCTGCAATGTTTGCATTACATGGTTAACCCTTTCTCAAGCTTGACAAAAAAAGAATGAGCCAAGTCTAGCTATAGCTGAGGGGAAAATGCTTTGTCTATGGAGGATCCTGAACGACTGTACAACTGATGTCAGCTCCTGGGGCTTCAGAAGGGGACGGGTGCATGGAGGTCCACACAAGGAAAAGGTTCAAGTATAACTCACCTTCTACTGAACCCCCACCGGCCAGCAGTGATGTCACCATCTGGGGATCATTGGAAATTCTGCACAGACCCCAGATGGTGCCAGAACCACTTTAGAACACCTATAGTGGCTGTATTCCAGGTTCAGCAATTGAGTAAAACAGGGTCATGCGATGATCCACATTCATCAAAAACTGCTCATAAGAATGCACTTAATGCAATCCTTTCCTATGAGAATCATTTAACTGGATACACGCATGGTACATGCACATTTAATACCCTATGCTTCTCTATGAGGAACATTGAAATGGATCAGAA